CCCATCCATGACCCATCTTCAGTGTTCTGGCTGAAGGAAGGAGGCTCTCGTCCAAGATTTTTACAGTACATGTCCATTTGCCCCTCAATGCGGTGAAGTCGTCTTGTACCCTTAGCAGAAAAACAGCCCCAAAGCATAATGTTTCCACCTCCGTGCTTGACTGTAGGGATGGTGTTCTTGGAGTCAGCATTTCTCTCCCTCCAAACACGGTGAGTCGAGTTAATGCCAAAGAGCTAAATTTTGGTCTCATGTGACCACAGCACTTTCTCCCAAGCATTCTCTGAATCATTTAGATGTTCATTGGCAAACTTTAAACGGGCCTGTACATGTGCCTTCTTGAGCAGGGGGACCTTGTGGGCGCTGCAGGATTTTAGTCCATTGCAGCGTAGTGTGTTACCAATGGTTTGCTTGGTGACTGTGGTCCCAACTGCCTTAAGATCATTAACAAGCTCCTCCCGTGTAGTTCAGGGCTGATCCCTCACCTTTCTCATGATCATCCTTACCCCATGAGGCGAGATGTTGCACGGCGCTCCAGACCGAGGCCGATTGATGGTTGGTTTGGATTTCTTCCATTTCCGAATAATTGCACCAACAGTTGTCTCCTTCTCACCAAGCTTCTTGCTGATGGTCTTGTAGCCCATTCAAGCCTTGTGCAGATCTGCAATCTTGTCTCTGACATCCTTTGACAGCTCTTTGGTCTTGCCCATGGTGGTGGGAGAGGTTGGAATGGAAGATACAGATTGTGTGGACAGGTGTCTTATACAGAATTCTTGCTGGTTGGTAGGGGATCAAATACATATTTCACTCACTGAAATGCAAATCAATTTCTAACATTTATATTGTGTTTTTCTGGATTTTTTGGTTTATATTCTCTCTCTATCCGTTAAAATAAACCTACCATATAAATTACAGACCTTTCATTTCTTAGTTAGTGGGCAAACTTACAAAATCAGCAGGGGATCAAATAAATATTTTCCCTACTGTATATGTGATACATGAAAGTCTTGTAATTCTGATTTATTTATGCATGTTACGGATGATGCCAGTTTACAAAATGTGACTCATTTAAGAAATGTTTAATAATGTTATAAAAATTAAAAGTCTCTTCAGATGATTTATATGAAATGTGAAAATATATTCATACAGTTATATGGACTGATGGTTTTTTTTATACATTCCTTTATTACACATCTGTTTTAATATAGATTACTATATATATAGGCTACAACTGAATTGCATTACAAAGTTAGCATTACAAGCGGTTGTTTTTTTTAATATACACAGAAAATATTTTTTTCTGATCATTATAAATAAATCCTCTGATAATTGAAAAAGTGCCACTTGAACTGTATGTATTAGGTTTGAAAGTTGTGCGCGAGGTTAACAGAACATAAACCTCTCAGCTTTACTCAGCCATATTTATGGATGAAAATATGCATAGGTAAATGTCTGGCAGAGGATACTGAGGCTAGCAGCAGTTACATGAGGTCTGAGTATATGTGTGATGACTTCAGAAATGTGGAGTTCTCTATTTCTTATCACTCTTAATGCCTGTGTTTCTGAAACATTCAGAAGGAAACTGGCTACCAAAATGGAGACCACAGCTGTGCACGATGCTTGGTTGAAAATGAAACCTGTGGATGACTGCTATATGTACAAACTTGGTTAGCATCAGAGCTACAGACCGGACATGACTAGTGATGTGTTAAAGTGCCTCTTATATATGTAACAGGCTTATTGGCTTATTAAATGCATCATAAAATCTCAGTTAACTCTTTATCACATACAAACCAAGGGTCTGTAAAATCAACAGTGAACTGGAACTGACTTGAGACCGTCTCTTCATTGCGTTTTGAAGAGACTGGACATAGTGACATAGGCTTCGTCTTTACATTCTCGTTGAGCTGCCGTTACGCTCTGAGAGCTGCCATGTTCGCTTTCTTTCAACAAATCTGATTCATCTAACAGTCTAATTTTAAGGTGGGACTGCTCTCTTGGAAGACATCCATCAGCTTTCATGTCCATTTCAATCACTGATGATCTTGAGGAACTGGCTTGACTGTAGCGGCACTCATCCAGACCGTCCTGAAGCTCAGTAGAAGATGGCTTTTCATCAACGTAATCCACACGGTGTATGAAGACGTCACTGAATATCTCAGGACTGAAAGTGAAAGGAAGGCCCTGAAAACATAAAAACAGTCTGTATGAAGATGCTGAGTCTCAGGTTTAATCTGGCAGAACGTCAAAGAAGCAACCAGACGCATGAGAAATTGAATTACCCTTTGCATTTGTGCAAGAGTTGCCTTCGGGTGTGGGATGTTTGGTGTAATGTAGTCTTTTATGCTGGATTAGAAAACATTATTACATTACATTGTTAGAAAATAATAAAATAGCTTTTTGTGTGTTTTTTTTTTTAAATGAGGTAAAAAAACTCACTGCGCTCTCCATCGCAAGGTCCCCAATCCGATGATGAGCATCAGAATGACAAAGAAGGTGATGATGAAACCAACCTTTGAAAAATTATTTTCTGTGGTAGGAACTGTAGAACCTGTGTCATCGTTTATAGCATCACAATTTATCAGACATGATTAATAACAGTTAAAATGCTTTTTTATACATTTTCTTAATGCTAAAGCTATTTGATTCTTCTCCTACCCAATAATGAGTACAAAAAGGAGTGTTTATCATACTAAACATAGTAGTATTTTCTCATGTAACAGACATCTGATCTCCAGTCAGATCCACTCACTTGTTATAGTGAAAGTTGCATTTGAACTCCACTCACTCCAGTCGCCAGCAAAAAAGTCCCACGGTTTTGCTCTAACACGTGTGTAGTAAACACCATCTCCAACAAGTCTGTCCCTGCTGATACTGTAGTTCCTATATTTTATAGTGGGTCTGATGGGCTGTGGAGAAAGAAAACATAGGTGTTGTTTATTTGTTAAAAGAACTCAAAATTGACTTTTTTTTAAGGTCAAGTCAAACCAACAAATTGTTGTGAGAAACACCTTGTCTGCAATTTTGTCCCTCCAGATTTCCAATTGGAATTCAGGGTTTTTAACATATTCATGAATGTGTTCAAACCATATGAAAACTTCTTCTGTGTCTTCCATGTAAGTGGCAAGCTTCATTTCAGGAGCTGGGATTTTGACTGTAAAGACAAAGACAGATTAGATAGACACACAGACAGACAGACAGACAGCAGACAAGACACAGACAGACAGACAGCAGACAAGACACAGACAGACAGACAGACAGCAGACAAGACAGACAGACAGACAGACAGACAGATAGATAGATAGATAAGACTTGCCCATTTTTGACAGGTCGATGTCTTTTTCAATAACCTCATTTCCTATGCGTAGCTCATATTTTGCCGTAACAATCAAATTCTCAAAAATAAAGTCTTGTGGTCTTTTAGTAGCATTTGTACACTTTTTTTCCAAACCTTCCATTTTGCTAAATAGGAGAAAAACAAACAAAAACTCTTATTTCCATTTTATTCAACATTAGTGCTTTAAGCAAAGATTGAGTTACTGACA